ATAATATGTATTTACTTTACTAAATATTGATCACTTCAATTGGTTTATTAATTCCAATTTCATTTCCAATTAATTCTCAACACTTTTGATACTGCTTTGAGTGGTGCGCAAATAAAGAATAAAATAACAAAAGGAAAAATGGGAGTAGGTTTCATTAACAAATGTTTAAATGTAGCACTTCTGTACATATGGTACATATCAGACATCTGCAGCGGGTGCATGATTTTCGTGTATACTCGATCATCTAACAAAACCCGCTTTGCATCGTTCTCTGTATACGAGCAGAAGTATTGTTCGTTATCTCTATTCTGAGCTCAAGACGAACATGTTGGCCACAACACCCGATTGCTTTTCATACATACTTGATTGGGTTCGGGTGCTTTGCAGCTCAATATACCCGGGTGTTCGAGTTTCAACCCGAGTGTGCACAAAATTTTCTTGATTGGCTTATGACGTTTTTGTTTCTACAAAAAATGTTGCCTTCTCATCGCGGTGCTCTTAGTTTTTGTGCGTAGAGGGTAAAGAGAAGGTTGAATTTTTCGGTAGTTTGTTTAAGTGTACATTTAACCATTTCTTATATTTTTGCTCATACAAAATGCGGCATCACGACGCCTACATCCATTTAGGTATAAATGTGTGTAGATCGGCAATGCCCAAGCCCTATACACTCGGAGCACATTTATTTTTTGTAAAAGTATTTATGTACCTACATAGTTTTAGGCTGTGTTCTAATATATACACACACAGCTTTCCACGCGAAACTATACGAAATAGATGCAAACACATTTTTGTATACTTCGCTTCTAATTTTTTCATTGCGTATGCACAAGCACAAAGCAACAACATTTTCGTATGCTTTGTGGGAACATATTGGCGCCAGTTACCTTCAGCGTAAATTTCTTTGTTGTCCTGCATTTTATCGCAATGTTCGGATGTCCGTTTCATTGTTACACAAATTTTCGGGTTAGCTGCGGGTGTCCGAGTGTGGTGTTCGCTTGTGCTCAATTTATAGCGAGGGTGATCGAACAGACTCGTTCGTAACCAAAGCAGCTGTCGGGTATGCATCTCGATCGAACACATAGTAGCCGAGTGTGGCGTTCGCTTGTGCTTGATTTTTAGTGAGTGTGATCAAAAAGGCTCGATCATACTCAAAGCTGTTCTCTGGTACATATGTCTGCATTAGGGATGTTAATTTTGTCGCTTTTTACGGTCCCGGGAATAAAAAATAAATAAATAGCTTTAAAACCCATGTTTTTATTTTTTCTCTCTGACGTCAGGATTTATTTTAAAGGATTTTGTAATTTCAAAGATATATTCAATGCAATGTAGAATAAAAATGTGGGTACCAAATGAAAGAGGAAATTTCTTTAGAACCTAAAAAAATAAAAATTTTTTTGGATTCACAAGGAAGACGATGTAATTTTTTAAGCTGATAATGTTAGAACAACGAAATTCGAAACAAATATTGCGAAATTTCAAGGATACAATTTTAAAAGGACATTTTCAATATTTACCAGACTTTATGCACCAAAACATTTAATCTGATTCAATTCTACAGAATTTACTCTTTAATTTGATACCCTAAGCACATTTTACTGAAATGTTTAAATCATTTTTGAATTACTGACGTCAAAGTGAAAAACTAAAAACACAATTTTACAGTATTTGGCTCATGGTTACGCAAATATATTCACTTTTGTGTTTAAAATTTTCTATCGCACGGTGTTATATGTATAATGAGCTGGACATTTATAAAAAAAATATTAATTATTAAATAAAAAAATAAATATAGCCAATAGTGGTCAAGAAAAGTAGTTTCTTATTTGCCAAGAATCCCGGGATTTTCGGGACCTAAAAAAGGCCGAAGATTAACATTCCTAGTATGTATGTAGTATGTATAAATGTGCACGTGAGTTCACATCCCAGCTATCGATCTTGATTATATGTATGTGTAGTTGTTTTTTCATTTTGGCGTATCTCATGTGGAAACCGCATTCATCTAGTTTGCCTCTGTAGATTTATCCCCAAAACGTGATCGCAAACCGGCAAAAGAGAACAGAGCAACTGAACGTGCCAAAGCAGGTCAAACTCTGGCGTGCGCTCTAAATTTTTAATTTAACTTCAACGAACACAGAAATCACAGTCACAATGCGTGGAGGAATCGGGGGGAAAAACGAGAGCGAATCTGACACAGTGGGTCAGATCAGTAGGCGTAAAAAGGAAGTGGAATGCCAAAATAATTAACATACTTACGTAGATTATCGTCCTTTGAGTACATCCGCATCGGAAAAAAGGTACTTTGCTGTTCAGAAAAATGTTTTAATCAAAATAAGTAAATGTCCTATCTCTCAATTGGACATAAAATATTACTAAATAATTAAAAACTATTGACAAATACCGCATCGCAGTGACGCACAAATGGATAAATGTAAAAAAAATCAAGAGGTCGTAATTTGTTGAAATTTTACCCCTGCAGGTATTATTTACTTCACGTTGATATCAAACATGAAATAGGATTTTGTACCGTTTACCTGTTTTGAAAACTCCGGGTTTGTGGTACCGATTGCCAATTTTGAGAAAAGCGGAGTAGTCACGCCTATTTTTTTATTATGGTCATTTCAAAAATGAAATCGCTTTTTTTGTACCTGTCGCACTTCAATTGGGAACCCACTTTATACACTATTTTGATATATTCATGAGTAGAGAATATGTTGTCGAAATCGGCCAAATAACCAATCAATTATCGTATAACGGTTATTATGAAAAAAACTGATATATAGGGAGATCTTTACGCAAAATACTATAATTTTTTTAAATTAAAATATTCGGCCGACTCAGAATTCGCATTCTTCGAAATTGGTAACCGGTAGGAAAACCTCGAGTTCATATTTTGAATAACCCTAATCAATAAAATAGGTGTGACCACTCCGCTTTTCGCAAAATTGGTAACCGGTGCTAAAAACCCGGAGTTCTCAAAATAGGCAACCGGTACAAAAACACCGATTGAATTTTTGAAATAAACGTGAAGTAATTCCTGTAGGAGTAAAGAGTTTCAACAAAATACGATCACTTTTATTTTTCTATATTTGTCACCATTGACTGGGGCTCGAGTTTGTCTTCTCCACAATTTTAGTGCTGCTACTATTCAGTGTAATGGAAAAGTGTTCCCTATATAACTAAAGCACGTTCTCGACATCGGTCACTAGGTCGCCACGGTAGTTCTTACATTAGTTTCTTCTAGTCTTGAAACCTTCCGTAAGTTGCCTCTCTCCCAGCAAAAAATTTGCGGGTGTTTTTCCTGTCGGCCAGCATTTTATGCTCTTCGCACTCGCGTTTTTGCGGCAAATATGTCTCACTCTTCAGCTCCTTATAACAATTCCGCATGGCTCGCGTTGCACCCGATCGCAGCGTTGTCCGGTTGGCGGCATCTGTTTTCTCTGCTGCTTGTTGACATTCCCAATCGTGCCAGTTATTTTTTCGGGCTCGCTGAAATCCTACTACTTTTTGGGCGGCGGGAAATCCCAGTCTGATCATGCAGAATGTGGTTCCAGAAGAATGCCTTTTAGAGTATTGGTTTTTTTCACAAGAATTTCGAAGCACATTTAAATTCTGTAGGTAAAATTAGAAAAAATCTACATGTAGAAATAGCTACATTCATTCTTTTTCAGTACTATGGAAGACTAAAAATCTTTAAGTCGTGAAAACTTTACTGCTAAAGTCAGCATTTTGTAATGGTTTGACTTCGGCAAATAAATCCGAACAAGAATAAATACGTTACAAAGCTCTCCTAACCAACAATAACAACTTCATGCAAAATTTCCGTCTTAAACTACCGTTCTTGCTGTGTTGCACGCCTTCGTAAAAGGGAATTAAAGACTTCATGTTTATAGAATTACTTCCAAGTGGAAAAAGAACCGTGCTATGCTATAAGTATATTTTGGAAGCAACCAAGTCCGACTAGGATGTGGTTCCTGTGCAATGTCGGATTGTTGTGCTCTTTGAGAAAAGGCGAGTGGCGAATGCTTTGGGCGTCGGTTGTGATTGCAGCTATTCGACGTTGAGCTTTCCTCGCATTGTTGGACGCACATTTTTTGCTAGACAGAGGCGGTTTCTATCTTGGCTGCCGCAAGAAAGTGATCCAAGTCCATGTTTGGACCTCAGAGTGTACGTACGTCTAAAACACTGAGAGCGTGCCTTCCGTCTATCACAACATGATCGATTTGTTTCCCCGTTTTTCGATCTGGACACAGCCAAGTAGCGTAATGGATTTTTTTATGCATGAACTTAGTACTGAAGCGCTCATATAAGCTGTCTTTGGACGCTTCGTCCCTCTCTTCCGTCCGGGTGAGATGTTGAAGAATCTGGCTTTGATGCGGACTGTGGCTAGACGCTCGTCCACCACACCGAATTTGCGCTCCTTTACATGACAGCTATAGTAGACGTCGTAAGCCCGGCCACACACATTTTTTGTCTTGTCTCGCCCATATTCTGGGATGGCGGTGGTGTCAGATTTTGTACTAACGAGAACATCAACAAGCCTGACAGAGGCACCCTCCCCGAACATTCCAGGTACATCCAGGTCGTCTTCAAAAAAAAGAGGGGGGGGGGGCGGTCTCGGATGAGATGAGGCCATAGTTTGCTTTCCATTGGAAGGGGTTTTTTACGTGGGAGGGGGTAGATTCTTAACCGGATACACGTCTATATAGCGAGCCGCTTACTCCAAGACAGAGGAAAAATTGCAGCCGCTATAGACTTTAGTGAGCCCTGAGTGTATGATGTAGAATGCAACGAAAATCATCTATGTTTTATAAGACTGACCCACCAAAAGGGGTGGCCTTGTAATTATATGTAGTATTTAGTAGATATGTCCCACTGTACATACATAATTCAATCGCTTCGATACTTTCGTTGATAACGTACTATTTAGTTGGCGAGGCTTGAGCCGGTTGCCGGCATACTGTGTTCGCTCAGTAGGAGTTTGCCATCGGTCTGGGTGTTTAAGGTCGATCAGTTTTTGATTTCATTTAAACGTTGACGGACGTTCTAAATTTCGAGCTCGCTAAAGGGGCTGAAAGTGTTGGGTATAACGCATTTTACATAATTTTAATAAACATGTAAATATTTTGATACATATACATACATACATATACGCTGGTAGGCAAAAAAAAATACTATGGGTATTCATGGAAATGCGTAAATGCCTCGTTACCTAAAAATTAAGTGCCATAAAGAATTTGTGCCTATTAAATATTGATTAATTATTTCAGAAAGTAAACAGCTAAAGAAAGTGCTATAAAACCCAGTTGCGCTAAAATTGATGGCAATGAGCAACAGGCAAACAAACAAATATAAAGAAATACATATCAAAGCCTTCACCTAAAAATTGTAAACAGTAGTTAAACAAAATATGTAGTGGCAAACACTTGTGCAAATTGTAATCGTAATCAAATGTAAGGAATAAACAAATATCGCCTTTCTTAATCGTAAAAAATTATGAATGCTTGCTTTTGTACTAGCGCTACTACAGAAAAAATGCTGTGCATACTAATTTAAACGAAAAATTAGATGTTAAAATGTGTACGGAAGAAATTCGTATTCATAAAGAAATTTCACTGGCAAGTGACAACTGGTTAAATATTTGTGTACCCATTTGTGATGAATTCAAAAATATCTTAAAAGGATGCATTTCAAAGGGAATAGCAAAAAATAAACAAACAATTCAGCTGAAATGCTACGATTGTAATATGTATACTATATGTGTTTGAATATCAAGATAAGATACTCTACCTCACAATTTCACTAAGTTAGTAGTTCTACTTCGGTGCTGCGAGTCGTTTCGTTACAATACGAAAAAATTCTTGTTTTCTTATTAAAAGTGCCTAGCAAGTGTACAATCAATAAGTGCCGTTTTCACAGGGACGAGTTAATTCACATTCGGCAGTTAGCTATAGATTTTCATTACAAAAATTTAAAGTTAACTGTCGAATGTGAGTAAAGATTTTTTTTTTTTAATTGAAAGAGTATTCAATTATGTATGTGAAAATTGTGATCAAGGCGAATTAATATAAGGTGATAGCAGGAGTACAAAAACAAAAATTTGCATGTATTTTGTTTTTGCTTTGGCGGCATAAACTGTCAAAATCTGTAAGAGTGTGTGTAGAAATTCAAACCAAATTTTTCAATTTGATATCAGAAGCCGTGCGGCGAAACACATACACAAAATCAGCTGAGCTAGTAACACCACCTTATATAAATTCGCCTTGATTGTGATTAAGTAAAACTTTTTCCTTACTAAACAGAATTTTAAAGCGCGAAAAATACAAAAAAAACTTTAAAAAAGTATAAGTTCGGACGAAGCCCAAGTTTATGTACTGGACGCTCGTATTAAATTTGGTGGTTTCACCATTCTGTAAACTGCGTGATAAGCAAGGTCGTTTTTCCCCGATTTAAAATATTTTCGACAGCACCGTGCGTCAGTCAATTTTAGACACGAGCAAAAATCAATAAATTCTGCGTTTTTAGTTTTTCTCTCTGGCGTCTTGATTATTTTTTATAAGGATTTTGAAATTTCTAGTTACTACTAGAAAATTACTTAAAACATTCAGTGCGATAACACTAAAGTATCAAATAAGGGAGACAATTCTGTAGAATTAAAATGGATTAAATTTTTAGGTACTTAAGAACGAATATGTAAAGAAAATGTCCTTGTTAAAATTTTATTCATAAATTTCCTTGAAAATGTCCAGCATTTATTTTTTTGAAAAATTTTTGGTCTCTGGTCTATACAGCCTTTTTATCACTCGACGCTTGACCATATCCATTGAATGATGCAGACTAGATTCTAGGCTATAGTAGAATCGTCCCACTTCTTCTGCTTGCGTTTCTCTACCAGTTGCCAAGCCATCGAATCTCCGGGATCGATCTGTCAGACTTGGCCATGCCCGTTTGCCAGTGCAGCATTTTTGGACGGGAATTAGAACGGATTTCTGCCTAACGTCCGGTGGGTAAGAAGCGAGCAACAGTGATTGCCTTGGAAAACTGACGTTCGCCAATTAGAAACTCGCTTAGTATGAGGAGGGTGGTGAAGGTACTCTTGCTAACTTCCGCGAAGCTGTAGATCGTCGAATCATTTACCTGCTGTGCCAAATCGTGTCACCGTGTTGTCTGCCAAAAAACGTGATGCCTCCTAAAGCCACCAAAGAAGAAAAAAAGCTTTTTTCTTCTAAATAACGCATCAATGCCAGGGTGATATCCTTCTAGGTAGCGCGAGAGGCAGGGGGATTTTAATCGGTTAATATTTCGGACTCGCCTGACCGTATGGAAATACCGTGACATTCTGGAGTGATATCTCTACAGGTGATATCTGCATCGATGAGACGGTGTGATTTGTGAAGAACCCCAAGCCACCGTTTTGTCTCGCTTACGTTCCAAATCTGTTTTTGGAATTGCGGCCGACACACGAATCTGTCTTCACGATCTTACTCTGCAGCTCGTTGCAGTTAAATGGTAAGATATTCGTCTGTTTCGGGAGGTTTTATTCCGATGCAGATTTTGCCTACCTTGCTGCTGTGGGAATGCTGCTAGGTGACGATTACGGCTACAAAGCTCTGCGACGAGGGTTGTCCACTCGCGTATGGTGCACAGGCCAGTACCAAACCGAAAGTGTCACCAGCCAATATATGCAATTGACTGAAGTCACATTACGGTATGACACAGAGAACAGACATAGTGAGGGGCCAAGAATTGCTGGTTAGTCTTCAGACAGGAGTTGGAGTGGGATGAAAGTTGGCGATGGGTGGAAAGGCGAAGTAGTTGCATTCCTCGGGTGAGCTTTTTAATGCCATGTATGCACCTTGTTGGGTAAAAATAGCTATGGGCGTGATGTGCTCACTAACGGCGTCACAACAGTATGTTATCCAGGACTAAGGAGTCTCTCGGCTTGAGCACGTCTCAAGATGGGGGTTGTTAATATATACAGTATTAGATGCTGAAACAACGGCCCCAGTAATTCCAGTGTGGGATACTGACTGTCACGGTAATACGTAATCAGTGGAAGATATATCTGGCTAACGCTTGTAACTTCCTTTGTAGTTCTTTACTTCCTACTTTAATTAGCTTTTTACAGTACAAGTGTTTTGACTCATTGTCCTGCAAAAATTGTAATTTAATAGTTGTTGACTAGTAATAGCTAGTGTCTGTTAATTCTTTTTATCATTTTCTATATTGTTATCAACAAATTATGCAAAATAAATGTCTGGCCGTATGACCATTGTCTATTGTACTTTTATAGAGATAATGTGTTTTTAATTAACTTTGATGTGCATCTCATGCTACGTTTGTGCATTATGTCTACCCAGTTATAATCAACATCAGTAAATTCAAGCCACATGCAAAATCACCTTTTCAAACCGAGTTGAAAAGTGTACTCGTTTAGTTAAGGTTAATCTGGCCGGTGTTGTGGTACACACATAGATCGGTAGGTCCTTAGCGTTGTCAATTAGAGTTCGATTTTAGGCGTCAAAGTAGACATCACAAAGGATGTCAACGCTTTTTGCGAATTTCTGATCTACTTTTGGGATATCCTCTAAGTTCTCGAATTAATAGGCTCCTTAGCATTTTAGTTGTGTTTTTGACAGTGCGGGCTTCGCAATAGAAGATGATATAAGGTTTAACTGGTCTTCCGCTCATGTCACTTCCTGCATCTGTCCACGTTATTGATACCCATTCTTAGTACATGAGCAGCCCCCAGGATATGCCCCGTTAACAATCCGGAAGCAACTCTGCAATCTTTCCTTTATAACCGTCTTATTAAGAAGCGAGTATGGTTAGTTTGGCTGCTTTCGCACATAATTTTTCTGCAGCCTATCAATGGCTTCCCGACTGCAAAGGCCGTCTACGTACGTATAAGTTTGCTTTTGAGTTGATTCCCGTTTCCGCGTAGGCTAGCTCTGCTGTTATTATAGCGAAAACTGCTTAAATCTCCTAGGACCACTTTCTAAAAATGTTCATTAATTTCAACTTAAACAAATTTTTTCCCCAATTTTTCTTTCTAAAAGATTTTGAATCAAACTCATAATTTGTTCCTATAAAAACTATTTCTTTCCAAAACATTGTTTTGTCCAAAAATAATGTATTCTAAAATAAAATTATTCTTTTTGATGCATGGTAAATTTTAACAATTTTGATACATATTATTTTTCTAACAAGTAATTTTTCATACATAATTATTTTCATAAAAAATCTTAAGAATTATATTTTTTAACCAAAATGATTTTTTCATAAAACCACCGAAGAGTGTTGGGCTACCCACTTAAACCCAAACTCCCACCGCCCGTGCAAGAATCCCGCTTCTGCCACCGCAATTCTGCATGTCTTCAGATGCAGCAGCGCGCTGCTAGAGCCTCGGGGCTGATCTTTTGTAGGGGCGTTTCATTTCAGTGTCCTCAATAGACATCCGTCCTCTCGTTCTCTCCGAATTTCCCGTATCTCGCAACTGCTTCCCACTTATCTGCATGGAGCTCATTACCCAAATTATGTTGTTCGGAGTTATGTCTCCGTATCTTTCTTCCAACATTCTGCGCGAAATCAAGAAGTGTTCGCAAGTGAAGACTGTATGGTGCACGTTATCTTCGACGTTTCCATAGAAGTGACAGAACGGTGAGTCCACCATTTCCTTTCTATGAAGATATTCTCGGAAGCAACCATGGCCGGTGAGGAATTGCGTCAGGTAGAAATCGACTTCCCCATGCGGTCTGTTCAACCATGTTTGACCTTTTGGGCTCGCATTCCAGGTTTGTTGCCACTGTTGGATTAGTTGCTCGCGCGCCCTTGCCGCAGCAGCTGCTCGACCTATCTCGGCACTGAGATTGTAAATATCTTTTCGCTCGTAAGCAAGTAGCTCAATTCGCATGACGCCAGAAATAACTAGAACCGCGTCCGCGGACACCGTACGGTATGCAGAAGCAATGCGTAGTGCCCCTCTGCGCTGGACTGAAAACATTTGAATCCGGTATTTTTTGGCTTTCCATGTGTCGGCCCATAGTTCTGCCTCGTACAGGAACACCGACTGGACTGCTGTCATCAGAAGTTTCCTGCGGCATGGGTTAGGGCCGCCCACGTTCGCCATCAGCCGGCTTAGAGCCACCGTGCTCTGCGCAGCTTTTTCACATACTCCATGGATGTGTTCCCAGAATGTGAGTTTGCCGTCAAGCTTCCCCACTAGGTATTTTTTAGACCTAGAAGTTGTCACGAGTTGAGGTCCGACCATCTTGTTTATAATTGTTGGGATCCGTTTCCTGGTGAGTAGCACGATCTCTGTTTTGGCTGTAGCCAATTGCAGACCGTCATCGCTCATCCATCCACTGACGCTACGCATGACCTGGCCTAGCTTGAGCTGTGCTAGCTGGACGTTTCTTGCTGTTATGACGGCGGCCACGTCGTCCGCGAAAGCGAGAAGGAAGGCGCTCTGCGGCATTTCCGTGCGCAACAGACTGTCATACGTGGCGTTCCAGAGGTCCGGGCCAATTACAGACACCTGTGCCGCTTCGCCGATTATACGTATCCTTCTCTGACCCTGTGTTGCGTCGTACACAAGCCAACGGTCTCTGAGGTAGTCCCGGATCATATATAGCAAGTATGTTGGAACCTTGAATTTACGCATCCCGGTAAGAGGGTATTGACCAGGTCTTCTAGCGACATCTTTTTCTATATAGGTAGAAATCTAAACTGGTGTGCATAAACGAGTTTTCAGATGAAACTGTTGTTACAATAATAACTACGTATGTTTGTACATATGTATGTATGTTAACTTCTATTGAATGGAACAATATAAATAGAATTTAATAAGCGAAAATTACTGCAGTAAAATATACAACAATGGATAAACACATATTATTGTCATACAATGGAGACAGTTTTAGAATTTTATTCCATTCAAAGCCGCTAAAAAAAATAATTGGAGCTCAGCAGCTCAACATGCGCACTTGAGGAAAATTACAGAGATGATCATTTAAAAATAGTATTAAATTTCTGTGCACGCAGAATATATATATGTATGTACATTACGGTGCATCACTCCCCATAAACAAAATATCGGGACTGTCCATGCGTGTTTCCATTTGAAATATAAAATGTATTCCATTTTAAGACTTACGCTTAAATATTTCGGTAAAATATTAAGACTTAAACGAGCAGGACGTATCTCAAAATACCTTAAAAATCGATTTATTTTTGAAAATATAAAAAACGGCCTGATAAAAAATTAATGAGCTGATAGAAAGAAGAGTTTAAGCTTAAAACTCTAAAAATGTTTAAAAATTAAAATAATGGAGTTTTTGGGAATTATTTTCAAATCGGCCTAGCTCTCGTTAATCTTAAAAAATTTTCCGAAATATTTTGGCGGTAGTCTTAAATATAATAAATAATTCCTTCGGGAAAATCGTTACTTTTTTTGTGGTGCAAACTAATGTACATACATACATATATGGCCTCCTGTAATTAAGTATCTATCTATTATTAACAAATTATTTGTAACTTTGTGAATAAATGTGAATAAAATTGTTGTTAAAAAAATGTTTTCATTACCTAACAATTTTTTATTTCAGTTTTATTGAGTCATGCGACCGATCGATTTCGCTTACCGACTGCTACCGGGCATCAAATGGTTACACGGCTATACGACGCAGGATGCCGTGGCTGATATGATTGCAGGCATTACAGTGGGTCTAACAGTGTTACCACAGGGTTTGGCCTATGCGACGCTCGCTGGGCTGGAGCCACAAGTGAGCGCTGCGAGTGTTACCTAAATACGCACGACTATCTAATGCATAGAAATTTAATTTCAATATTTTTAGTATGGACTCTATTCTGCATTTATTGGCGGCATTGTGTATGCCTTCTTGGGCAGCTGTCGACAAGTCACCATCGGTCCCACAGCTTTGCTGGCGCTAATGACTAGCCGGCATACAAGTTTCGGGTTGAATTCAGGTCCAGCTTATGCGATATTGCTGTGCTTGATCTCTGGAATTGTTGAGCTTCTAATGGCTGTGCTGCGCTTAGGTGTGTGTATGGTTTTTTATGAATTATGTGACAACTCTCAATTTCATATTTTCTTGTAGGCGCACTGGTTGATTTAATTTCACTGCCAGTTACCGTCGGTTTCACCTCAGCAACGGCGGTTATTATTGGCACCTCCCAGCTGAAAGTAAGTACATACGTACATTAGGGTGCATACAAAAATAACATAAAATATCAAATCTGTACTATTTTTCCATCGGAATTATAAAATGTATTATATTTTAAGACCTTCGCCAAGATATTTCGGAAAAACATTAAGACTTTAGTGAGTTGGTCCGATTTGAACATCACTCCGAAAATCTTATTATCTCCATTCCGTTGGTAAAATGTTCTACGATTTTTATGCAGACCTTTTGAGTTTAAACTATTATGTCATCTGAGTTGATTTTTTTGGAAAATATATTTAAAAAAATTAATTTGATTTATAAATTTTTTTGAGGTATTTTCACATAATTCCTAATATTTTTTCGAAATATTTCAGCAGATTTCTTAAAATAGAATACATTTTATAATTATGTTGAAAAAAACCGCGCCTTTTTTGGTGATGCACCCTAGCGTACATACAAACATGTATGGTGGAGAAGTTTTCATCCCTTTTGAGATGTGGCAATATTTTTACTAAGGCTCTCTTTTGATTTTTAGGGCCTACTGGGCATTCGTGGTGGTGGCGGTGGTTCCGGATTTTTAAATACAATGAAGTCCGTCTTTATGAATTTAGACAAAATACGCTATGGCGATTTTACGTTAGGCATAATTGCTATTACCGTCTTGCTACTGCTGAGGGTAAGTAAATTGTAGAATTTGAACTCCAGAAAGTTTTAGTTTTAATTTGAATTTACTTTATTGTAAGCAGAATATAGAGTGTGCTAGACCGCATAGAGTTATTAAACCAAACACAGAATACTTTCGAAGTATTTAGTTAAGGCTTCGTTCTGCAGGCCCAGATTCCTTTGTCTGGTTTGCGCAGTATTTAAATGATAGAACTGTTTTATTGATAAAATTGTCTCCTCCGAACATAACTCTGCCGGACAA